GAAACCTTCTAATGGGAACCCAAGAGTTGGGGTCACCGCTGTCTCCTTTTTCCCCCGTTTGCCTTACGCAACCACCCCACGGCAGCTCCCAAGCAGGGCTCCCAGCCCCTGGACAAGTCTCCTCGGGACACTGCCTGGACGACAGCAGGAGGAGAAGTTTTATATCCCACGGGCACACAGCTCTGAGTTAAACCACAGCCACCACGTTAATGAGCCGCCTGCCAGGTACCCGATTAACGCAGCCTCCGGGAAGCTTCCCGGTGCGTTAGCACAGAGCAGCTTCAGTCTGAAGACTCGAGGCCATGGGAAAAGAAAAGAAAATAAAAGAAAATCTCTACCTGAAAAAGGCACGTGGGAAAAGGCAGGCTGAAGGGGCTACGCAGTCTCTGTGAAACCACGGCATAACCTGCATTCCCCAGCAGGAGCTGCAGAGGCAGGGGAAGGAAGGAGAGCGCTCCTGCACGGCACAGCCTGCCCCGTGGGTCCTGGCCCTGGCAGGAACCCACTGGCACGCTCCTCGCCTCCCAGGGACCCTGGAGACATTCCTGGAGCTGTTTCCTCACGCTTGTAACGCGGAGGTGGCACGGGCTCAGGGCAGCACCTCAGGCAGCAGCCAGGGAGGACGGCGGCAGCCCCAAAACCCCTGCAGGGATCCAGCGCGGGGCTCTCACCTCATGCTCCCCGCTGCGATCCGCTCCCCAGGCTGTGCGAGGCACAGGGAGCCAGAGCTGCGCGCTGGGCTGAGGCAGGGCGCTGCATGGGAACCTCTCTCGAGCCATCTGACATCTCAGGAATTCCTCGTGTGTGGGAGACGGACGCTTCTTGGCTTCACAGAGGAATCCGCACAGCTAAACAGAGCGCTGCCTCCAAACCCCTGACCCCACGGCCCAGCCAGCCACAGGCCGAGGGTGCTGAGCAGGGAGGTACCTGGGGAGCCCCCAAAATCCCCCCGTCACACTGCTCCGGGGGGTGCCAACTCCCCTCCTGGCTCCACTTTGGCACGCAAACACCATGAGCTGGAGTAAGGCCGCCTGCAGCGGGGGGAGGCTCTGGAAGGAAAGCACCACCGAGGAGCCCTGGGTTTCGGGATCATTTTTCTCCCTTGAGCTGCTCTGGGACTTTTACGTTCCCTGAATATTTGAGTCCCCCTCCGGCACTTTTACAATCCCTGAATATTTGAGCGCCGAGCTTCAGGTACAAACCTCGGAGCTCGCTGCAGCCCCAGGTACGTGGGGGAAGTGAAGAAGAGGCAGATGGGTGTCAGCTCGGGGCAGGACAGGGTCACGTCCGAGGACTGCAGCTAACCCGAAACCAGCAGGGCAGCTTCTCCCATCCGCAGCCTGCAAGGTGCTGAGGACGGGTGCTGGTAACCCAAGCTAATCTCCTGAGCACACCCCCACCCTGCACTTCTTCCCGTGGCCTCCCAAATTCCTCCGCTTCTTGCACAACCCGGGAGAGGCCACGGCAGCATCACGCCACTCCTTCCCCTCCCAGCCTCCGAGCCAAAGCAGCACGGGAAGGAGAGGAGCACGAGGAGCAGGGCAGCCACCGAGGGCACCGGGCGCTGCCTCTGGTGCCTCGAGCCGAGCGGGGACAGCGGGGGCACTCGGAGACGGGGCTGCGTCCCTCCCCGCAGCTGGCGACAGCGCTGGCATTCTCCTACAGAAGATAATATTTAGGCAGCTTGTGGCCTTCCAGCGGCGCTGGGGACTGGCTGACAGCTGCCACCACAGCACTGACGCCGAGTCCTGACGCCGTGCCGGCCTCCTGAAAGAGTTATTCTTTCGGGCTTTCGTTTGTTTTGCCGACGCAGAGGGCACGCACGGCCCCAGCATTTGCCAGCTCACGTCCTTCCACCCACTGCCTCGGCGCTCGCTGCGATTACGAGCGGCTCCGAGCAGCTCCCACGCAGAACAACATGTTGCATCTCTTCTGCAAGAGGAAGGGATGCTCTGGATTCGCCACAGCGGGGAAGGAAAAACTATAAAAATCTCTTTCTGGGCAACATTTGTTCCCAGCGCATAGCCTCAGAATAAGCGTTCAGCTGCAGCGGGCTGTGGTTGAGCTAATTGGGCCTGCGGTCGCAGCAGTCGGGGCTGGCTTCCTGCAGAAGCACAGGCGAGCCTCCCGGGGAGGGACTGCAGGGATTGGAGAGGCAACCACCAATTCGCCTGCTCCAATGGAAGCCCGTTTCCCCATCCCTCCTTCCCAAAAAAAGCTCACGCTGCAGGCAGAGGAGCCGGCCAGGGCACGGAGGGAGAGGGCTGCTCCCGCTGGGCTCGCTTCCTGGCGCACGTCAGCAGCTCGGGGAAAAATCTGTCGCTTCTGTTCAGCGCTGCATGGGGGAGCACCTGGATTTTTCCCAGGGAAGACCCTTCAGAAAGCTAAAGGTAAAATGACCGAGGGGAAGAAAATAAACAAACGTACACAGGAAATTTAACTCTGGAACTTCCAAACGGTGCCATCGGCTGGGCAAAAAGCAAGGAGGGGGAATGCCCAAATCCAAGCAAACCCCAGTTTCCACTGGAACTGAGTCACGGAAGCATTTCCCTCTAGAGCTTGATTAAAGGAAGTTGTACACCTAGGGTTAGGGCCAGCAGCCACAAGGCTTCTGGCAACCACCCTGGCACAGCACACAGAGCTGTCCTCAGCCCGCTCCTCACAGTCCTTCACCTAATGCTGACCCCTCACGCATTGGAGGGGTTTAAGCCTTGCAGTCAGAAAGAGAAACCAGGAGCTCACAGCAAACAGCAGCAGAACTGCATGAAGTTTCTCACGACTTGGGCAGCTCAGAGCTTCCCCTCCCTCCACAAAGTCAGGGCAGGACACGAGGCAGGGTGTAAATCGGCTTCTCCAGCAGGTAACACTCACACGTAGCTGCCAAACAGTCCCCGAGCCGCCTGGCAGCCTGCTGCAAGGAACAAATCTCACTGTCTTTCCGGTGAGGAAGGCGTTATTCATCTCTCCTCTGTGCAGAGCAGTGGTTTTTCTGACAAGACCTACTATGAATTAACACTTCTCAGTAAGGCGGCCAATAAAAGCCCAGCGACCGAGAGCTAATGTGAAGGAACCTCGGGGTGGCAGGAAGGCACCCGCACCGTGACCACAGCTCGCACACGGCTGTGTGCGCATCCCCGGCCCTCCTCACCGGGCATTGATGGTCACAGAGCCCTCGTCCACGCACGAAGCCACAGCCCGCACAGCAGTCAGCTGTGACATCTTCAAAACGTACGGCATCACCTTGATCCTCAGCCCAACGTGGAGGCTGAGGCCAGCTGCTTGTCCCTGCCTCTGCTAGCCTGGTTCTGTTCAGAAGAGGCAACGGAGAAGGTCTGAGCTTGATGATACATGAAGTGTTTCATAACTAACCCAAACTCTCACCCACAGCCCAGATTACACAAAGTCATTACTTGCTGTTTAAAGGGGGCTGTTGGTGAGTCGGAGTGTGATGAGGAGGCTGCAAGGAAGACACCCAGGTATGCAGAACTGATGCCTGCAGACACAGCCCTGACCACGGCAAAGGTGAGTCACATTCCTGGGGCAGACCAGCAGAAAACTTCAGCCTCCAGGGGCCGGAGCCGACCTCCCTCACAAGCAGGACATTCACAGAAACAAAGGCTGGCTTGAGCACCGCTGGCGCGATTCTGCTGCCTCTGAGGCAGCTTTCTATAGGCGAGCTTCCTTTCATTTGCTTTTGTTGGTCGTTTCCAACAGCAGCACTTCAAGGGAACTTGATTGTGCTGGAGACAGAGGCATTCTGGAGGACTGTACAAGGGCAGCACGCATCTGGGGAGCTTTCAAAACACATTATCCAAACCTAAGGGTCACTACATTCCAGGATGTCAGTGTCAGCTGGACACTTAAAATAGCTTCACCAATCTGAATAGCCTGAATTATTGTACACCAGAAATCTCCTGCGGAGGCTTTTTCAACATTATTTCCCACTGCAGATACAAACAGCTGGTAAAAATAAATGAATTTATCATCGGTTCTTGGCAGTAGCAAACCATTCCCATTCAGACTTTACGCTCAGAGGCACAGCGCCATGAAGTGACACCAGGAAAGCTGTAAGCCCCACAGAACAAACAGCTCGGAACACCTTCATCCCGAGGCCTCCACGACTCTGCTGGGGGAGCAGCAGCAGTGCAGAGATGTGCACGGAGGATGAAGGAAAGAGAGCGGCTGGGACAGCCCTCTGCCCTATATCAAATGGGATCAGGATGCTGCTCTCCCTGCTCCTGCCAGGCCCGAGGTTCAGGGCAGAGCTGCAACCACGTCCAAAGGCAGAGATGAGCAGCGAGGCGCTCAGCCTGCAGATCCCCGTAAAGCCACCCTCGCTCCCTGCACAAAGTAAGCAGATTTTCTCCTAATGGAGCCGGGCACCGAATTCACGCTGGAGTGCAGCCATTTCACTTCGGTGCTCAGATGGGAGCCAAGCATCTTCGGGAACTTTTAGTTAAAAAAAAAAAAGTGACAGAGCATTGACGTAAGCACACCAGGCGGTGAGGTACCCACACCAACGAACCCAAGACTCAATCCCATTTTCTCCCAGGCTGGGCAACATTTATGCTCTGGCAGCACCCCAGAAAACCCGAGCAGGCACCAGTAGAGCCCAGCAGGCTCCCAGTAGCGTTACACAGGACACAGCAAGGGCTGCACTGGGGGACAGTTGTGGTGCCCCCACCTTTTGCTGCTGAGCTCACCTCCATCCCCCAAACCCGGAGGCTGGCAGCAGCGGCTCCCCCAGCCCCATCCCGACAGCCAACTTTCCTCTCTGCGGGTCCCACATCTCCTACAGCCCCGCACACCCAGCCTGGAGCTGGAAACTTCAGCACCCAGCAGGGCTCGGGCAGAGCAGGGGCAGCGGCCGGCAGCAAGGAGCCGCAGCACGGGGGGAGCCCAAACCCTGGCGAAGGGCAGCCAGGGCCGGGCTGGACCCCCTCAGTCCCCCTCAGTCCCCCTCGGTGCCCCCCGGTGTCCCCCAGCCCCTCAGTGCTCACCGCGAAGCGCTCCAGCTCGGTGGCGGCCATGGCCGGGGCTGTGTCCGCCGCGGGTGTTGGCGGCGGAATGGCTCCAATATGGCCACCGCCGGGCACGCCCCGCAGCCGGCCGGGGCGGGACGGGGCGGGCCGGGGCCGGGGGGAACCGGGGGGGAAGCGGGGAGGGACCGGGGGGAGACTCCGTGGAGCCGCCGCCGCCCCCTCACGGACACCGGCGGGCACCGCGGGGACGGGGCTCGGGGCTCGGGCAGGCCCGGGAGGGCCCCGAGCCTCCACAGCGGGGACCGGGGCCGGGCCGCGGAGCTTCCCCATGAGGGGAAGGGGACGAGAAGGCGGCTCCTGGCAGTGGGGGGCAGCCAAGGGGAAGGGGCTGGAGGAGCCCTGAGGGGTACAGGCGGTGGGCACGGCTGTGGCACACAGGGGTGACACACACAGGGGTGACACGCACACACAGATGTGGCACACACGGGTGTGTAACACACACAGATGTGTAACACACACCAATATTGCACTCACAGGCTCAGGGCACACCCAAGCCCTCCAGAAGGCCCCAGGTGCCCCCACACCACAGCCCCGCAGAAAGGGGTCACCCACTGGGGCAATGGCCGAGCTTCAGTCCTGGGCTGGGAGCTCTGGGCTTGGAGCAGCTCGGCTCTGGGCTGGGAGATCGCGGCCGTTTCACTGGGTACAGGAAGGTGAAGTCAAACCTGAGGGCTGCCAGGCTTCCCTCGTCGCTCCTTCCAGCAGGAAGCACAAAGCCAGCTCCAGCACCCTCACCTTTGTAAGCCACGGGGCCATTGGTACTGCACAAGCCGTTAGCACAGAGCAGCGTTTTTCTTGCTTTCTGGTGCCCTCTGGTGCAGTGCTCCTACCAGGGAGCAGCCGATCGGTGCCACAAGTTCGCTGTCACGCAGCTGGGCACGACACCAGACCTTCACCCGTCTGCTCTCCTGGTTTGGCCCTAGGCTTTCCTCACCCTTCCCACCAGCTCAGCCCCCGTGCCCTTGCCAGAGCGTAGCCCTGGGGGGCATTTGAGGCTCTGCAGCACACCTGCACAGCTCTGTCTGCAGGATTCCTCCTCGTCTATTCAGGTGCTCGCAGCTCACCTGCAGCAGGAGTTCCAGCGTCCTGCACAAAGGCCACAAATGCAGCCGTTACTTGATTATGATATAGTCAGAGCTTCAAGCAGCACCCCGATTATTCGGGAACAGTGAGCAACCTTGCTTAAGGCTCTTTTACCAATTACTTTCAAAAGGTTTGCCAGATTTCAACATTTTTGGCAAGAGAAGGCAAAAGAAAGATAGCCAGTATCCCAGCTCCTTTACATTCATCACCCACAAAAACACAGTCCCTGCAGTGCCCTAAAGCAGGACAAAGCATTCAAAGACAAACAAACCTCAAACAAATTAAAAGAGAACTTATGCTTCATTATAATACTCTATGACCCACACTCCATATTAACTCCCATCTTCTCCCTTACCAGCTATTTACAATCTTTCCAAAGGTCTCTTGCTCCCACCACAATATAAATAAATGAGACCACACTGCCCTAGCAGGCACTGAGTTGTGGCGTTACAGCAGGTGTGCAAGATCATGTTATTTCCCTACGTCTTCCCAAGGCTCCTCAGCATCCACCTAAATCATGCTGCAGGAGCTCTGGGAAGCGCTGTTCAGCCCCGAAGGGGAGTGTGCTTATGCTGGAAGAGTAAAACAGGATATGAAAATTAGATGCACATAGCTGAAGGGAGAGGGCAAGGGTCACCAAACGCAAGCACTTAGAGGAATAAGAGATTAGGAAGAGGCTGTTTTCTCCCTTGAAGCAATTTCAAAGCTGAGGATGTGTTATCCAAGTGATCTGCTTTCTGAGATATGATAAATCTGGTGCAGTTAAGAAACGCTGTGTTTTTTTTTTTTGTCCTTCCTGAGTAGAATGCATACATCCGAATCAATTCTACTAATCCATACCCTTGTTCTAGTTAAAGACAAGTTGCAAAAATGCTGTACTTCTCTAAAGAGGGCACTGCTGAACACCAGATGCAAGAATTCAAGGCATAAAGGAAATTCCAAGACCTTGCAACAGATCAGGGGACAGCCCTGCTGCTGCTTGGCTCTCAGGTTGAGCTGTGGTGCTGGTACCTGCAGTCCTCCCTGCCTTTGTCTGCTAGCAAGCCACCAGCACAGGGCAGATCTCTGCCACAGGCAAGCATGGTGTAAAAGCTTGGAGTTATTTTTAAACACCTTGTTATTCCAACAATTTCAAAAGCTCCAGGTGCATAAAAACGGTCTCAAGAGAATTTTTAGTTTTTAGTGGCTCCTTTAACTGCTAGGACATCCGTTGTTATGCAAATTGTTCCTAATGACTCAGGAATTCAAGGTATATCGCAGTGGAGCTGGGTGCTCCTGCAAGGGTTCTAAACTCAGGGGAATATTTGTACCTGCTAAATGCAGGGTGAATTTAGGTTGGACTGGGAATTGTCTACAGGCAGAGCGAGGAACCCAGGCAGAGCATGCAATGGACTGGAGAGGCACGAAAGCATCCCTGGCACCTCTGTCCCGGGGAGAGGGAAGGAAGATGCCCCTCGCTGCGTGACCACTGGCATGGCAGCAGCACAGTTCTGGCTGTGGGGAGATCAGTAGCTGCTGCTGTTCTTCACGTGGTGACCTGGGTGCAAACAACGAAAGTGGAGTTAAATAGGTGCTGTCACAGACCTTTTTACTTCACGTGCAGCCTCCCTGAGTGACCGATCACCCCCCTGCCACACGAATACTGTAGCAAGTCCAAGGCCTTCTGAAGATGGCTGCGTCCTTCAGGGCTGAGGAAAATCCTTGATCTTCAGATCCAGGTGGTGCAGATAAACAAACCCTTTCACATTTCTCAACACAGGCCAGAGGAAGTAGCTTTTTGGTAACTATTTTGAATTACATCCTCCTGGGTAATTTTAGAAATCAAACGGTTTCACAGTTACTCTTCTAGCAGCACAACCACCAAGAACTTCATTAAACGTTCATTGGCTGTACTGACAATGTATGGGACTTACAAGGATTTCCTACAGAAGTACTATCTTTCTCAGCTGAAGTAAAGTCAACAGGAGCTGTAGGTCCATTTCCCCAGAAATGGCTGGAAATGGCCCCAACTTTCCCTGCTTCCTAATGCCGAAGGGCAGTATTACCACGCTGCACCTCATGCCAGGTTTGCGTTACCCTGTCAGGATCCCATCAAGTTCACAGGCACCACCTGAAAAACAGGGGATGTTTGGGATGGGTCCTTTCACCATCTGTGTGGAACAAGCAGTATTTCATAAACACAAACCCTGAGATGCACAGAAGGCTGCATTTGAACGGCTGCTGTTGAGAAAGAGCCTTTGAAGTGGTTACTGAGGTCTTAGAGTCACAGCTGAACTTTGCTCATTCGTCTGAAAATACCTTTTATCTGCAAATAATCATCTCTTCCCGCTCCCCCTTTCCACCCCTTCGCAGACTTTTTGCTCAATTGTTTATATATTGAAGGTTGCTGCATTTTGCCAAGGAACAAAGGAAGAGCTATTTCCCTTCACAATGCATGCTCTTTGTTTCACATGAAAATATCAACAAAGAAACTGAAAAATCGTGAGCTTTGTCATTCTGTTTGTCCTGGGAGCTCTGCTTTCATTTCAGAGGAAAATAAGCTTGCCTTGGGGGACAAATCCCACCCACAGTCAATACCACCTAAGCCCCACCTGCCTGCACAGCAGCAGCACGCCATCCAGCCGAGACCATCCCCATATATTCCCTTTTTCTTCCTCTTTTGTTTCCAGTGTGGCGCCTCCTTTTCCTTCTAGCCACATGGGAAGGAGCAGGGCCTGGGATACCACCTCATTCAGTTTTGAAGTGTCAATAGAAAAAAACTTTGCTCTGAATCACAGAAACACAGAATGGTTTGGGTTGGAAGGGACCTCAAAGCCCATCTAATTCCACCTCCTACCAGACCAGGTTGCTCAAAGCCCCATCCAGCCTGGCCTTGAGCACCTCCAGGGACTGAACACTGGATGCTTTGCTTGATCTCCCACTTTATTTCCCAGGTTTGCATGCTGTGACTAATTGCAGCCATGTAACCTTTACCTTCCTCCCCTGACAGGGTGCCAAAACACCCCAGCCTCTCTGCGCAATTTACTACATTGTCATGCCAATAGCTTGAAAGTTTGTGAAATTTATTCCTGGGAAAGGCAACACTTCTCAGTGCAAAATAGAGGCCAGCTCTCTAAGGCTTATGACACAGAATGAGCAAGCTGCAATATTTGTGTTTAAAAAAAGTAGCAGTAAATTGATTTAATCGTGGGTTTCTGTACGTTGTTTTTGTCCCAGCCAGTAAATTAGAAATATCAAGACATGTAACAGTTGGCTTGAAATCTCCTAAGAAGCAGCCCACAGCATTCCGTAAATAGCCCCACACAAAATATTTGCTTTATAAGTTTTTGGTGACACAGAAAAGAAGGTAAAACTTCTCATGTTTTTTTTAAGGCTGGAAATTCCAGATGACTGATAAGCATAATGCCCATGATGCTCTAAACTCATTTATTATGTAAATTAATACAATTCATTCAAAATGCTTAATTTCTGCTGCACAGTCTGCTCAGAGGATGACCAGCCCTGAGTAAAACAAGAGAAGCTCACTGGGATCTGATCCCCCGGACTTGGCACTCAGCCTGAAAGGTGGGCAGCCAAAAGACAGTGGCAGATAAGGGACAGCACTGGCAAAAAGGACGGAGAGAGGGAAATTGGGAAAGAGACCTCACGCCCACTGACTGAGACTGTGAAAAGGAGCACAGCCACACGGCACAGCCTGCCCACAAAGAACGAGGAGAGCGTGCACGGGGCAGGTGCTTGGATGAGTCACTGGAAAATTACCTGGAGAAGGAGCTCCTCGCAACAAGGCGCTTAAACGAGAGGAACCAGTTTGCACTCGGCACGGCACGAGCCGCACTCGCAGACATCCCTTTTCCTCTTCATAGCCTTCTGGGGCCGTGCCTTCTCATTTTGGGGCCATGTGGAATGCCAGGACCTGCAGGGGGAACAGCCCCAGTAACAGACCTCCTCTGGGCCCCAGAGAGGTGGTGGGACCTCAGCCACAGCAAGAGGCTTCCTGGGGCATGGAGAGCCCTCTACAGGAAACCTCTCAGGGTGGGGATAAAATGGGGGGAGCTGGCAGCACCCTCGTGGGTCCCAAGGGATACAGGGGTGCAGGGAGCTGACGCCTTCCTCAGGGCTGTCCACACAAGCACAGTACCCAGCACCTCCCCACAAGCACCCACAGAAATCCTGCCGGGGCCGTGCAGTCCCCTGCGTAGCAGCCAGCCCTAGGACAGAGCCTGCCGTGCTGGAGCCAACTCAAGCAACAGGAGCAACTCCTCCTGAAATATTTGTAACATAAGAAAATGCTTTACACAAAAGCCTATTCTTCTGAATTATTTTCCGTCCTCTTGCTCATTTGCAGACATGAGCTATAATCCTAGGGTACGGCTGAAAGTTTGCAATGCAGAAATCGTGGACTGCTGAGGTTTTCTTATGCCTGCAACAGATTCTAGTAAGGAAAAGAAATCAACATTGAAACCAAAGCGTAGCAATTAATTTTTGGATGCTTGCTCACGATTAGCTCTCTACAGTAGGCAAGGCAGAACTGTGGGATGCCGTAAGCTAGGAAGCATTGCTAATACTCCAAAACACTACGCACTAGCAGCTCCCTCGGCAGAGGGCGAGGTTACTGTATATGCCACATCTAAAGGCAGTAATAAAAGGTGTGCAATTCACATGGAAATACTGAATTGCTACAATCAGCATGAAGATTACACGCTATTATGTGAAAGAACATTAGAGCAGCGAAATGATTTTGAGGAACTGGCTCGGTGCCAGCTTGTTAGCGAGAGATAAAATAGCTTGTCAGAGACCTGCACAAAGATGGAGCGAGCAGGAGGAAGGCTGCCAAGCAAAGACTGAGCAATCTGCAGGAAGAGGCTCCTCCAGCACCAGTGATGGGTGCGAAGAGGCAGAAAGGAGGTCAGCCCCAATGGGAAAGGAGAGAGGTTCGCTGCGTGGAGATCGCCGCACCTTGAATTGCCTTCAAAATGGAGACTTTAGCACCGGCTGATGCTCCATTTTATTCAAGCCCCAGGACGGTGAAAACAAAAACCTACTTTCTGTTTTCCTCCTTTCTGTTTTTCTCCTCCATCCTTGTGCAGTTACTTTTATCTGTCTTCATGCCACACCGACTCCGCTCATTCTGCGCTCAGTCGCTCTTGCTGTTTTCCTAGACAAACCGTTCAGTCATTCAGGAATCAATTTCGGGAGCTCAATTGCAACACTCAGCCGAGGAGAAAACAAGTTTGCAGGTTGAACGTCATCTCCCCAGCAGGTCTTCAGTCCTACTCCTTCCCCTGGGGAAAAGACATTTGTCTGAGGTTTTTTAACGGTAGAATTGAGAACAATAATTATGTTAAAAGAAGTGCTTTAGCAGAAGTAATTGATACGGCAGCACAGTTAGACAGCTCTCTATGAAAAGAGGGGGTGTCTCCCCTCGGATGCACACAGAGGTGCGGGCATGCTGTGAAGGTTTCGGCACGTGGACACGTGTGTGATGCGGATATGAAAAAAGATAAACGTAGAGAATAGATACGGTAAATAGCATCATAAAAAATAAACATATTTCAAAGTGTTGACTTATTTTCAGTCAGAGACGTTGACCCAAAGGACTCGCAGGCGAGCCAGCAGCACAAGGGAGGGTTTTGGGGCACCACAGAGCTGCCCCTGCGGGGTGCCTGCTAGCCAAAGCTCGCTGAGACTGAACCAAAAATGATCATTTTAGAAAGCTGGAAGAGGAACAAACCAACACAGCGTGTGCGCTGCCTGCGGAGCGGGCTGAGGGGGGTCCCCACCGACCCGGGGAAGGCTCGAGGGCTGCCTCTGCCTACCCCGGAGCGCCGGGGTCCCAGAAACCCAAAATCCCCCCCCCGAAGCCTTGGGGCCGGGCCCCTCACCTGGCGCCGGGGCCTCGGAGCCGGGCGGTGCCCGCAGCCCAGCACCGCCCCGCGGGGAGGAGACAGCGGGGCCGGGCTGAGGAGGAGGAGGAGGAGGAGGAGGAGGAGAAGGAGGAGGAAGGCGGGCGGGGCGGCTCGGTCACCTCAGCGGGAGCGGCCGCAGGTGCCTGAAGCCGAGGGACACCGGGCAGCCTCCTCCCAGCACAGGGCGGCCTCGCTCCGCCTGGGGGGCCGGTGGCGGAGGAGGCTCGTCCACCTGTGGCGACTGCGGGATGGCGGAGCTCGCCCTCAGCCCCGCCGCCGTGCTGGGCTTCCTGAGGGAGCGCGGCGGGTGGGTGCGCAACGCCGAGCTGCTGGGAGCCTTCCGCCCGCTGCTGGAGGCCGCCGGGGACGCGGCGGAGCGGGCGGAGCGCCGGGAGCTCTTCAAGCGCTCGGTTAACGCCGTGGCCACGGTGAAGGAGCGCGACGGCGCCAAGTTCGTCGTCCTCAAGAGGCACCTGCGGCCCCCACCGCCGCCCGCGGGCGTCCCGATGGACGGCGGCGGGCCCCCGCCTCAGGGGCGGCTCTCGCCGTCGCCCCCCGAGGAGCTGAGGTCGCCCTCCGAGGAGCTGCCATCACCCCTCGAGGAGCAGCCGTCGCCCCCCGAGGCTCTGCAGTCGCCCCTCGAGGAGCAGCCATCGCCCCCAGAGGCACTGCGGTTGCCCCCTGAGGCGCTGAAGTCATTCCCCGATGTTCTGCCGTCACCCCCCGAGGAGCAGCCGTCACCCCTCGAGGCACTGAAGTCGCCCCCCGAGGTGCTGCCATCGCCCCCCGAGGAGCAGCCGTCACCCCTTGAGGCGCTGAATTCGCCCCCCGAGGAGCAGCCGTCGCCCCGTGCCGTGTCCGAGCTCCGTGGCCTCTTCCAGAGGAGCGGCGGTGGCGGGGTGCCCCTGCCCGCCGGCGGGTCCGGGAGCCGTCGGGAGCCGGTGCCCAAGCCCTGCATGCTGCCCGTGCGCTGCGTGCCGTCACCAGCCGCTGCCCCAGAGCAGCCCAAGGAGCCCGGAGCCGCCTTGTCGCCCTTGCCGGAGGAGGACGAGGCCGGGTGCCGCTCGCCCAACCTGCGGCGGGTCCCCAAGACGCTGCGGGCCAGCGAGGAGCCGGCAGCGGTGCCGCTGGAGGAGGCCGAGCACCGCTGGCTGGTGATGGCGGCCGAGGGGCAGTGGTCCCAGCAGCTCCACGGGCTGCTGCTGGGCGACGCCAGCCTGGCGGCCCGGCGGGACTTCATCTCGGGCTTCACCGCCCTGCACTGGGCCGCCAAGAACGGCAACTGCGACATGGTGAGGAACATCATCGAGGTGGCGCAGAAGGAGGGCACGCACGTCGACGTGGACGCCAGGTCGCACGGCGGCTACACGGCGCTCCACCTTGCCGCCATGCACGGCCAGGAGACCGTCATCAGCATGCTGGTCCGCAGCTACCACGCCAAGACCGACCTGAGGGACTACAGCGGGAAGAAGCCGCACCAGTGCTTGAGGGAAGGGGCCTCCATTGCCATCAGGCGCTTGCTGGGGGACCCCAGCCTCGAAATCACTGGGGGATCCTCCCTGCCCATAAAGAAGAGCACCAAGATCGCTGCTTCCATCCTGAGCTCCACCAGTACGTTCCTGGGGGTCATATCCGATGACATGGCTTTCTATGACCTCACCAAAGGCTTGAGGAAGCCTTCGTCCCTGAACAAGCTCCTGGCTGCCACGACAGGCCCGAGGAGGAAGCCAAAGACCAGAGGGAGCTTCCCTTCGTATTGTTCCCTCTCGGAGGTGGCGGAGGAGGAGGAGCAAGAGGAGGTCGTTGTGAAACGCCGGCCGGTCTCCGAGCTGTTCTTTGGCCACTAGCCACTGCCTTCTGGGGATTGGAATTGTTCAATACTGTGACTGGGGGCCTTGGTCTTCTCTTGAAGAAGTAAATTAGATTTCTTCTCTCCGTGTCTTTCTTCTTAGAAGTAAGTTCCAGTGAGCCAGTAACAGGGTCTGGCTCAAAGGCCGCCAGCTGAAACCCAGTTCTCAGAAGCCTGAGGGAAGGAGACTGCGCAGGGAATGTTACAGACAGTCCTTGTGCCCTGCTGATGCATTGGTGAAGGCCACGGACTCTGTGTAGACAGGTTAAAATGCTTAAGGTGCAGCTTCCTTGGTCTGTGCTCCTCAGCCGAAGAGCCAAACTAAGGTAAAGAAGTGCAGATTTTACACTGTGAACAGCAGCCTGGGAGCCGGCTGCTTGAACACGGCTTGTTACCTAGCAGGCTCGCGTTCGAGGAAAGATGCATAGTTTTCTATGACGTTTCTGAATGTTTTGGTAACAGAGGAGGAATATTTCTATTTTAAAATTGTGTATTTTCAAATTGTGCTTTTTTCAGAACGAAATTTCTCACTACCAGAAATACTAACGTGTCTTAATTGTTGCCTAAAGCATTTTATTAGATTAAGAGGTTAAAAAAGAAAACACCCTCATTGCTCAGTCACTCTGACCTGTCTACCTCAGTGTGAAGCCTAGGTTAGCTTTTTTATTTTTATTTTTCCTCTTCCTGAGGGACTTTTTGACCAGGTGGTACTAACTAACCATGTCTCAAAACTGTGAATGCTTAAACTGACTGTAGTACTGTCGCTTAATCTGAGTGAAAACCTTTTTGTTATTTGATAGCAAAAAAATGAAGTGGAAAACCAGGATGCAGATCCTGTGCAGTGTGAGTAGCCAACTGGAAACAGAGTTAGGCTTGTACGTCTGATTCTTTTTATTTAAAATCTGAACTTTGATTTTGGACTACTTATGAAAATATTTATAAAGAGATTGGGCTTTGTTCAGTGGGTGTTTCATGATAAGATGTCTGCATGACCTCTTAACGTGTATCTCAACAGCATGAATCACGGATCTAAAACTCACTTTTCTTTTGTATTATAATTGTTTTATATAGAGAGAACGACGTGTAGCTCCAAACAGCATGCTAACTGCGAGCAACACATTTGCCATGAGATTGTTATCATTTTTTAAATTATGTGGCTAAAGTTAACCTGAGACGAAGAGGCAGAGCTAAGAGAAACTGTTTGGTTGCTTTGCACAGTCTGCTAAACCGCCTCATTTTTCATCTAAAACTAACAACAAAGCTGCAGAGCTCAGAGGTGACAGAGGTGACTAAGTTCTGTGCTTGCCGTGCTGCTGTCCCAGTCAGGTGTTTGGGTTCCTGTCCCAAATACTTGTTTGCGTGCTTTGCCTCTCTGAGTCACTGACTCCAGGAATGTGGATTTTGGTTTTTGTTTCCAGCCTTGAATTACGCCTCATGCTTCCTCTTGTCGTCTGTAATTGGCTTCCCCCAAACACTCTAGGACCGTGCAGGGTGTGGAGGCGCTGCCTTTGTTCCCTGCAGCATCAGCCCCGAGGTCCCAGCATTGGTCACTGAGCGCAGAAGGGTCCGAGCCAGCTGCTCTGGGAAGAGAATAGGATTATTCTGCACCCGTCTGCTTCCGTACTGAACTAATTAAGGTGTTACGCAATGTTAATGACCAAGCACCTCATGACTTCTATGTCTGGAGTAGTGTTAAAAAAAAAAAGTTCTGTTTGCTCCGTGGCTGGTGGTGTGAGCAGTGACCGGTGCGGTCGTCTGAAACTGCAGGGTGAGCTGCAGAGCTCCAGGAAAAACGTCTGTCGCTCTGTTTTAAAAATCCTTTCTCAATTTAGTGACATTAAACACCTTTCTGCTGTAGCTTTTGAAACCACGGAAGTGTGCGTGTGTGTTTGCCTTACCTCTGAGGCGCCCACAGAACTGAGGCTGCCTCGGTGCGAGTTGGAAGCTGTCTCTGGATTGACTCAGTCTTATTTGGGGGTTTGTTCACAGCATGTGGCTGAATTTTTAGTGCTAATTTTGAGTTAAAACAACCTGAGGCAGAGGCAAGGTGTGAGGATGGAGTGTTTTGGTTCAGAAAAAGAACACCCGAAAACCACTGCAAGCTGTGGTTACGACTTCACCTTTGCAAAGCAGGGAGAAGCTTTCAAAGCTCCTGAGCTGCTGCGGCGGGGCAGAAAGAAGAAGTCACGTCTGCGATAAGGCTCTGTTGCAACACGTCCCATCAAGGAAGTTCTGCATTCCTCCCTCCTCGGAGGCCTCTCCACGACTAAGCAGCGTGCCACCAGAGCCCCCAGCAGCGCTGGAGGAGCCCTGGTCCTCGCCACGTGCCCAGGAGGTGCTTGGCCAAGGGCTGTGATGCCGGGGGGTGCCGAGGCTGGCAGTGCCACGCGGGTGGGGTGGGCCCGGCTGTGCCCGCGAGGCTGTGCCGTGACTCAGCTCGCTCCTCCCTGCTGAGGGCATTCAGGAAAAGATAGCGCCGGGGCAGGCTGCGATCAGTGCGCCCAGTGCTGTCTGCGTGCCTCCAGGTGCAAACACGCTCAGAGGTGCTGAGAACACACGCTGCCATTTCACTAAAGCACAGATCGCCTTCAGGTTGAGGTAAAAGCAGCCCTTTTTACAAAAACACAGATTGCCTTCGGTTTGAAGTAAAACCCGTCCTTCAGCTTTCCTGGTTTCAGTGGCACGTGCTGCTGCTGACACCGTGGGGGGACACGGTACGGGATTTTTAGCAAATCAGGAGTATCTTGGCAGAGATGCTGCTTCATGAATCCTTCAGCTTAGCAGCTTCTTCTCACGTTTCACTCCTTGAAGCCCAAACCCGGCTGAACACGACGGGACGTTGACACGAAGGCCTGGCAGCTGTGAAGTTTAAGCAGGAGGCTTTCCTGAGCACGCCAGCAGCGCCGCGAGGGGACAGCCAGGCAAACCTGAGCTTGTGGCCCTGCCCAGAGCCGGGGGCTGCCTCCTGCACCATCAAAGCTGATTGCAGGGAAGGATAAAAACACAAAACCACAAAACCCTCGCCCCTGGGCTCTGCCTGTGCTGTGTGGAAATGGCGTACAGGGTGGGAGAGGGCTGGCAGCGAGTTAAAGCTGGAAGTGGTGGGTGCAGATGCAACACAGGGCCAGGATTCAGGAGCCAGGGGTTGTTTTCCCTTGGTGACCTGTCTGCCTACCTGCCCTGTCCCCCTTTTCCAGCTACAACACGGAGATAATCTCCCTGCTCACTTCTGTAAAGCACACAGTTGTTGGTATTTAAATCCAAATCAAGGTAATTTTGTAGACTTGTAGGCAACACCAGCAGAGGCAGCGGTAACCGGTGAACGCTCCACACTCCCTGAAGTGGCTACACAAACGAAACTGGAGGAGGTTTTACTTTAGCAGCAGGGATCACCAAAGCTAATGTTTGTTTGCCCCTGACTCAGGTCATTTTTGTTACAACTCTGCCCATTCACCAGCACAACAGGTCCCGAGGAGCATCAGCCCAGCAATCTGCACCCAAGAGGTTCACAAACAAGCTCCAAGCTGTGGCTGTGTGAGAGGCCAGACTTTGTCCTCCAGGACTGTTTGAGCAGGATGAGGCAAGGCAGCCATGGGCAGGTTCAGGTCGACTTTTCCTGTCTCAGTTCTCTTCTCACGAGTATTGAATACAAAGAGCTGTTGCATGAAATCCTTGGGCAATGCTGACCCTGTCCTGCAAAGGAGCCTTTACAAGGTCTTGGCTTTATCACCAAACCAACGTCCCTCAGCAGAGTCCCTCCATAACCACCACCAGACCCAGCAGGAGTTGCAAAATGAACCGAGGGGAGGTGAGGGCCATGAGAGCCCCCCTGAGCTCCTCCTTGCTCCCCCCTTCTCGTGCTCTGCACATTTCCCCCATGACCTACATTCCTTGGGTGCATTTGCTTCCTGATTTGCATATCAATTGAAGTAAAGTGGCAACATGGCTGGTTTTGCTCATTGCACTAATTTGTGCTAATGTGGGACCATATAAATTCATAAAGAGATGAACAGCAGTGACTTGGCCTGCACGTAGCACGGGCACACACAGCACTTTGTGGGCCAGCAGGGGCAGAGCAGGACGAGGCAGATCCAGAGCTCTGCATCGTGATGAGGAACATCCACTTTCCATTCCAGGGCCAAGGAATATTTCACTAATTTATAAGACAAAGCAAATCGTCAAGCACATCCAGCCCTTGTACAGGGCTCAGCTTCTGTCCCTGACTGCAGTGCCTAAATGTTTGTCTGCTGCCACCAAGAAAAAACAGCCAGGGAGGGCTTTTGACCCCACGGGCAGGAGGGGGCAACCAGCAGGACCCCCAAAACGGGAGCTGCCACCAGGCAGGGACATCACAAGGGTGTGCTTCACACGGGGTTACGTGCTGAGGGGCTGTGGGATGCTCCTGTGCTCGTCCCGGGTGCTGAAGGCTGTCACAAAGACCCCTGGCTGCTTGCACACGATTTCAGCAGTGCCTTTTTTCTCCAAACCAAGCCTACGGCTCAGCCCGTGCTTTCTCTCCGTGGATTTATCTATGAGATGACTCAGCTGTGAGGCTCATGTGACATTTCAGAATCTCTCACACAACCCTTAATGCCTTTTGCTGTTTCACAGGGAAATGCATGAGCTGCTTCTTGGGTGCGTTTTGTTAAACCCAGAGGCTACACGATTCCCACTGCCTGCCTATCCTTCCATGGAGCCGTGGGCTCCCGTAGGGTGCAGAAGATGAGTTTTGCAATGCTGCTCTGAGCTTATTTTTAAAATTTTATTCAGATGGTTGCCATGAATCCCCAAAGCAGAGAGAACATCCTCCCATTTACTCAGCCCAGCTCTCACAGGCACCAGATACATCTTCCGCAGCACATTTGCATTAACCCCTGCACCCCTCCCTTCCTTAATTAGCTCTGCACGCACAAGTCCAACAGCATAACGCCCCCGTGAAGAGAACGAGGCCAGGGTTTAAAGAAACAAAAATAATAAAAACCTTTCAATTTAGTGCCTGAGAGGCTGAAACAGCAGCTCCTTATCCAGCAGCGACTCCCACACGTTGCAGTGGGTGTTAAACCAAATCCTAAGTGAGCCACTACCTCTAAAATTCCTGCAGTGGCTGCCAAGGTGCTGCCAAACGAGCAGAAAGGATGTTCTCCTTCCACTGGCCACTTGCTCTGTCCCACACCTGCTGTATTTGCTCATCCCTCTGGCTCTAGGCAATAAAAGTTCTCCCTCGCAGGTAACAGACATGATTTTGAGCCACTGCAGCCTTTGGCCATTAGCACAAGTACCTGGGGCTGCTCCTATGCGTTAGGAAGGATGCTCTGCAAAGCGTTTAAGATGGGATCAGGTTAAATCATCATTTGTGTTTGCCCATCAGACTGTGATTTTACAAGCCCACATCTCAGCGTGTCGGTGTTCCAGCAGGACTGCACACAACTTCCCTCCAGCATGAGCTGGCACCGCTGCCTTGGGCTTGGCCACTGGAAACAAATCAATAACAAAGGATCAGCATCAAAATCGAGACCCACCTGACATCCGGACCTGCTGGTGCCTTGGAAGTGTTTCTGCTTGCCAGCAAAGAGGTTTCGATTTCGTTGCTGCATCATTTTCACTTTGCCTGAAATTCACAGTTCAGAAAAAGTAACAAGGAGCACAGATCCGTGACTTTTTGCAAAACGGAGTAGAAGTTATTTTTAATTTTTGCTCTTTGAAACATACTTGTGAATGCCAGAGTGGTAGGAGCAGCAAAAATCTTCTCCATGACACCAAGCAGGAAAAAGCCAAGAGAAACTAAAGGGTGCAGACCCACACCTGCACCTCAAGGCATGTAACCAGCTTCAATTTATTTCTGACTAGTTGGTTACCCTCAGCTAGGAGAGGAACCACACATTTTTATGGGTCTAGGAGAGTCTGGATTTTGTAGTGGTGTCAGCTGGCACTGACACATTGCCCCATTCTTCAGCCACCTGAGGGACTTCAAACTTTTTATTCTGCTGAGCTAAACTGAAGCCAAATGGCCATCCAGCTGCACAGCTGGGGCACTGCTCGCTGCAGTTCTTTGTGTCCAGGAAATCAGCACATCCAACATTCAGCACAATCCGTTTTGCTCAGACCAGCAGGACAAAACCACTATGGTCTAAACCATCCCCTCGCACCCTTTACTGCAAATACATTTACTGCACTTGGTGAGCGTGGTAGACGTACCTCTGAAGTCACCTCTGCAGCCCTGTTCAGGGTACATCAGTCCCACAGCCACAGAGCCAACCCTTATTTGTTGGGCCCCATGAAGCAGCTAACACCACCTCAGTTCGTTCTGAAGGCAGAGGGAGAGCAGCTGGAGATCTCAGAGGCACCGCTAGTGAAACATTTCTTGGTAACGCCTAGCATCAGGGAACAGGGGAAATCTGTTTTACCAAGGAAGAAACTTGAGTTAGACTCGTAGTTGCCTCATTCACGACCGAGGTGTGCAGCTCACACCGAATATTCCTCTCACTGAACACCTTAAAAAAAAATCACTCAAATTTTAAGTACAGCAACATCACTGGTTTGACTCAAAACACAACGTTAGTTTAAAAGATTTTTGCCAAGGGAATTACATAAAGCCTCACTGAAACCGAATTATTTCCTCCGCTCTTCCCACCTACCTCTTGCTGCAGCCGAGCGCTTTCCCCACGCTCAGCACTCCTTGTGCACGCTGACAATTGAAAGCTACTTAAAAACAGCCCCCAAAGGCGTTGCTTGAAAAATAAACACTTCAAAAGCATAGCAAGGACTTTGCAAACACAGCGTGCAGGAGTAAGTTCAGAGTTTAACGTTCCCAGAAATGTTCTTTTAAGATGGTTTCAACACCTACTGGCATTTTTTTTCTGCCCTCATAAGACGACCTGCTACTGGACAGCCCACCTGGGCTGCGCAGAGCCAGGAGGTACCTGTGGAAGACAACTACTAAGAAAATGACTGTTTTCTTCCACTGCAATGCATTTTTACTGTGTCACGTACATAAGCAGTAGGAACAAGTGCAGGAGTTTCACCGAAACGATGCGTAGCATTCCCTACGGTTTTGTTCAATCTCAGTTCAGATTTGCACACCCGCGTGGTTTTCCACTTCAAGCACTCGCCCACCCACGAGGTGCAGACTCGTGCTGCTCTTTTATTGCAGTCATGTCAATCTGGAAACAGACAGACAGAGGACAAGGGGAAATACACGACACATTTAGAGGAATAAGACATCCTAGCAGTCATTTCCAAAACGCAGCCTGCTACACACCGCAGGATTTTGTCACTTGGCCTTCCAAGGGGGGAAGCGTGTCCAGAGTGTGCCTCGAGCCTCGAAGCACTTGTCGGTCCTGGGGCACTAACAGCAGCAGACAGGTCAGCAGCGGGAGCCCAGGGCGGTCAGCGTGCACGGATTCCCAGGAAAACGTCACAAATTACCAGGTACAAAAACGGACGGTCCGCTAGGGTATTAGAGGGGGATGCTCTTCTCGAGATTTTCTAACTGTTCCTCGAAAAATTTGATCTGCTCTTCGAGGTCCTTCTGTTCGATCAGCAAGGAGGTCTTCTCCTGCACAAAGCGCCTGTAGTCCTGCAGCTGCTGCTCCGTCAGGTATTTGGCAAGGATGCCGGAGACCACTCTGCCCCTGCGGTCCAGGTTCTCCTTCAGGTCTTTTGCATCTTCCCGCTGCCTGGACAGGAGCTTGTGCCGCTCGTTCAGCGATTGCTAACGGGATGAAAAAACAAAGCAGCACACTGTGAAAACTCATCGTTCCTGGCAGACTCTGGATCGTAATTTGGAAGCCACACTCGATTTAGTTTAATTACTTCCTCTTGTGGGCTTTGTGTTCCACATGAGTTTTTCCTAGATTAAATTACTCGTTCTTGTGGCTTGCAAGGTAAAGGCTCCCAGTAAATCCCATCAAGGCTCACTTCTTCCATGCTGCCCTCAGGACAAAAATCAATGTACTTAACGTTCTGCTAATTTTATCGTATCCTGCATCTTTCTTCTTTCAATAAGCAGTTTTTTAAGCACACTTCTTTGTATTTTCTGAGTTGTGTGTGGCCAGAGTGCCAATGCCATATGAAAAATATCATGTTCCTTCTATTAAAATGCAGGTGTACTAAAATAACTGTGATGCAGACAAGTGTTCATCAAAGATTTCTTTTTCCCAAATCCACAAGCATCAAGCCTCGCCTGTCCTACGGGCTTTTAACACCTTTCACATTTTAGCTCATTCTCTTTCAGCTGTAATGATTTTTATAGGGATAGCCCTGCTGGAAAATCTCTGGTTTCAGGACCAAGTCCACAAACAGCACAGAGCAACTGCCACCACCTGTATCCTGAGAGTGGAAGGCTGCCGGGGCAATTGCAGTGACTGGGAGATACTTACAAAAAATATTGGCAGGTAAACAAGCCTTTCTCGGGCATGTTATTCCAAGTCTTGAATAAATGATTTTAATGTATTTACATGAAGAGGACAAACAGAACACTACGGAAATGGCAGCCCCCTGCCAACCACAAGGCACAAAGTCCGTTAGGTGTGGAGTGCTGCCCGGAATTATTTGCGTTAACCTGGCAGACATTTCAGAGCAGGTAGGTCCTGCTTCTCCTCATGGCTCTGCACGGGAGGATTCTCAGTGCCCCCCGTGCTCCAACTACAACAAACCTCTACAACATGCATGAAAGGTCAGCAGCAGCCCAGCTCCAGGGATCCCAGCAGTAACACCAGGGATCCTAATTTCTGAACAAAAACTAACAGCAGCAGGTACCGCTCTGATAAAAGCATGTCTAAAAGCAGTGAGGACAGCAGGAAACCGTCATTCCTAGGATAAACTCAGCTTGAAACTCAGGATTCCTAGGATAAACTCAGCTAGAAAAAAAAAAAAACATATTTCAGACTTGTAAAGATTTCCTGGTGGAATGAGACAATTCCTAATTTTCCAGCAAAAGCGGCTGGTTGAGTTAAACTGCAGAAAATCCTCTCTGAAGTTACAACCACATCTTCCTCCTGCTCCCTACAGCTCAGACGTGCCCTTTCAGTGATATAAGGTTTGACAGCAGTAATTACCACACTGCAGTTACCAATGGGAAATCAACCACCTCTGAAGCACAGGTTGTGGTCTGCTCCGGAGGGAGCGGTCACGGGTTCAAAAGCTCAGCCCCAGGTCCTGCTGCTCCTGCCACGCCACCGCCCTGCTGCGAGAGCAGAGGTGCTGCTGGCCATGCACGAGGGCTCTCCGGCACCAAACTGTCCAAAACGGCACCAAAAGACCCAGTCCCTCTCTGCCTGGTACCAAACGCTGTCTGAGAAGTGGCTGGCTCAGGTCAGGTACAATCCCACCTGTTCAGAGCTGTGAGAGCTCAGCCCCACCCTGAAAAACACAGACTGGACAAATTAAACACCCTGTGCTCTCATCACCCACCTTCTCCTCGGCATCTGTATTGCTGTCGATCTTCCTCATGGCGTTCTGGACGCGGGCGAGGCGGCTGGACAGGCAGAGCAGCAGGCTCACCACCTTCTCCAGGTCCCCGATGAACATCAGGTAGCGCTCGAACTCGTTGGGCTTGCAGACGTCGTGCACCGTGGCCTCCAGCTCCTTGCCACGCGCGGCGCACTCGCTGGCTTCCGAGAGGACCAGCTCCCTGTCCTCCCACAGCGCCTGCAGCTTGGAGCGCAGGCTGGAGACGAGTTCCAGCTGCAAAGGGAGTAAAAAAAAAATCACAAGAGGCTTATTGCCGAAGGGAAGTCGTGTCGCTTATAAAGAAGGGATTTTTCTCATGTCATCTTCGGCGAATTTAAGACTTAAAATAATTTCAAGCTCTGGAAAACAAAAAAAAAGAAAGATCATGCTAGGTATACTTAATTCTCAAACTCTGAAAAGCAAATTACTGGTAATCGCCTTAACTGCTGATATAATGCCTAGCTCTGAGAGCTTCCTACCAGAGTCAGAAATAAACTACAACAAAGATTACAACATGTATACACACGGCTTTGTCTAAGACGTGACCGTGAAGCCACAGCTCTCTTACCACACAAGAACTGACTGGAATTTCATTTATAATATGCACAGAAAAAGTGATTTTTTCAGTGGATGCCAGTGAGCAAAGTGCCTAGTAGCAAAGCAAGCGGGGAAGGCTGTGTAATACAGCGGTGTTACTGTGGGAAGAGGCCCCGAGAGCAGAGTGGGAGAGCGATATCAGCTTTTTTTGGAAATCAACCAACGTCACCATAAAGAGCAGCAGCAGTTAAACAGCGGGCAACAAAATATATCACCACATGCACAGCAGGAGGAACTTCAGGAAGGCAGGCTATAATTACCTGAGAGAGGTTATAGCCGAGTTTCTACAGGGAAAAATAATTTAATTCTTCAGAGCTACACGTTACCCTTCCGAGGTATATTTACCTCTTATTTACGCTGCCAGCTGTAATGAATTTTACAGCTACTGAAACCAGATTGGAGCCAGCTGCTGCACAGGAGCTGGGTGTGCGAGGAAAGGGACGACCAACCTGTGGGCTCATTGCAGAGCCACCCCCAACAACCTGCTGAAGGTGAGTGTGTGGAAGGAGAGGTCTGAGTAAAGCCAGGCAGAATTTGAACACCACCGCTTGTGACCAATTTGCCAGTTCACTAGGAAATTTACTACTGAAAAAAAAAAACTAAAAATGATTCAAAGTTGTGTGTGAAACATTGTTACTGGGATACACATCATGAATAGGAGCACCCACAGTACATGAATGTGACGTGAATAACGTCGTGGTGGTGAAGAAACAACGCTTCCTTTGCAGGCCAGCCACCTACTTTCTTACACGTGATGTCATCCAGGTCCTTTGTGTCACCTCCGCTCGGGTTCGGGGTCTGGTTTCCCTTACAAATGGGGCTGTCACTCCTTTGCTTGGCATTGAGTTCAGGTTCAGAACATTCTTCTGGCGCATCTCCATTGCTTTTCCTGCTATTTGTACAGAAAACAAACAGCTGTGACAAACACTTAGAGTTCTGTTCATGAACATCGTGTCCAAAGAAGGGCAATGAGGCTGGTGAGGGGTCTGAGGGGCGCTGGGGGAGCGGGGGTTGTTTAGCCTGGAGAAAAGGAGGCTCAGGGGAGACCCTATTGCACCAGAGGAAATGGCCTTAGGTTGCACCAGGGGAGCTTTAGGTTGGATATTAGGAGAAATATAATCACTGAAAAAGTTGTGAAACACTGGAACAAGCTGCCCAGGGAAGTTGTGGATTCACCATCCTTAGAGATGTTCAGGAAATGTGTGGATGCAGTGCTTTGTGAGTGGTTTAATGGGGACTTGGCAGCGCTAGGCTGAAGGTTGGACTAAATGATCTTGGAGATCGTTTCCAGCCTCTACCATTCTCTGGTTATGTCCTTGCTTTTATGCATCTCTACTTCCAAATCACCCTTCTCTCATCTCACAGCAGGGACTTTGTCTCCTGCCACCTTCAGCAGCAGGGACCTCCGGGCCAGCTCCTGGCCTTACATGCAGCCCCAGCTCCCACTTCAACAGGCTCAGGAGTGGATGAATCTGCTGCACACCTGGATCTGCAAAATCCGTGAATGGCGTGGTGTGGGAACCACACGGCCTGGCTGAACAGCAGCAAATTACCCTGGCAGAATTGGGTTAAATTTCTCATACCACAAATGCCCACCTACTAATGCACAGCCTGCTTATTTCTCCTGCTTTCCATGCACGCAGCTTGTTTGTTTGCATGCTGCTGGCATGGTGTAGTTTACTCCAGCTTTCTCCATTACACACTCATAGCCTCTTTCTCATTTCTTGACACATAAATCAGAAAACTAAAATATTTCAGTAACAAAACAAGCGTAAAAAATCTCTAAGTCTTCTTAGTACTAGTATATACTTAATATTCATGCATCGTAAGACCTTAAAATACTGGTTAATTGTTTTAGTCTACTTACTCATTCCGCTGTGCTTGCTGCCCATCTGCCTTTCTTCTGTGTGATTTATCCAGCATGGAAACGTCAGCAGGAAAAAGACCCTCCATCAGGTCCAGAGCAGTTTTTCTCACTGGATAAGGCATGAGAATATCAACCAGAGAACTGTCTTTGGCAACAATCTCCATCGCAAGTTCTTGGTATCGCTGGTCCTCAGCAGACCCCAGTCTCCTTTTGGACGGATTTGTCTCTCTCTCCTGCAGAACATCCTCTGGGCTGTCGAGCACAGCTGCTTCCTTTGCAAATAAACCTCTGGGTTCATTTTTGTCTCCTTGGTCAGACTCAGCCAGCACCGTGTGGCAGCACGTTCCTTTCTCCTGAGGCACTGCAGCATCGCTTGCCTTTAGCTGCTGCTCTGGGCGCTCCGTTAAAGCACTGCCAGTCGGAGATCCGGCTCGGCATTCCTTCTCCACTTGGGCATCTTCCTTGCTGCCGCTTCTCGGGCTGGGAATAGAGGTTTCAGGAGCTAGTTCCTCGGCGTCCTGATGAGACCGTCCACTTATGTCATTGTCTTGTTCGCGATTCTGGCACCCACCTCCCACAGGATCGTGGAAGCTGTAAGAGCAAAGAAGTTCCTTTATATCTGAGACACTTCCTCTGCAACAGATGCTTTTGCAGGCTGTTTAAGCAGCTATAAGCAATTGCCGTCATCTTTCCAGCTTCCTCTGTTTATTAAAGCCTCAAGGCTGGACCTCCCCAAGCCCTCCCAGCTGCTGTTTTTGCCGGAGGTCGCAGGGGGGAGCTGCGCTCCCGGTGTCCGCAGGAGCTCCCCGGGCGCACGGCGCGGTGCGCTCCGGTACCCACGGCAGAGAGCAAGGGGGCAGCCCCCGTGCCCCTTGGAGCCTTACCTGGGGATTCCGAGGCAGCTCTCACGAGGCTGAGGTGGTGACACGGCCCCGCTGGCACTGCTGGCACCTCTGTCCGCGTCCTGGAAACGAGAACGGCACCGGTACAGGCGGCAGGCTCGCACCGTGCCGCTGCCTCGGCTTCACGCCCTTGTCTGGGGGCATAAACCTGAGTGGGTTTAGCAAGCTGGTGTTTGTTGGTTTTTTGTTTGTTTGGCGTTTTAAGTTTCTCCACCTCTTTTTATTACTGCAGATGCCATTAGACTCTTTCTAGGTAGCATCCACCTGTTTTTCCTAGAAAACCAAGTGAGGGCTAGCAACAAAGCACAGGCTCTGCTCCCACCGACCCCCACAACTCAGAAAGTGGCCAGTGTTTTTGGGAGTCTCTTCAGTTGGATAATTTTTGTAATATAATAGAGTATTTCTTTTCTATTTTATTATTTTTATTTTTTCCCCTTTTGCAACAACATTGGCAGCCACTGTCCTTCATATTCAGAAGCCAAAAAGGTTCCTGAGTTCCCAGGCTGTGATTGCAGAGCACAGCAGAAGCAACGCAACGGGCAGGTCTCTGATTTCCAGTCACTTCAGGAACTTCCCAAAGGGTAATTTTTAGCTAGAAGCCTTCCCCCCACCGCTTTGTAAAACTGCCCACTTGTTGCAGGATAATGAGCGCCGAGCACGCTGCTCAGTCACTGCTCAGTCGGCCGTTGCAGTTCCCACCCTTACGCAATGGCTGCAGCTCCTCACACTGAGGAACGCGTTGTTTGTCTGCTGCTGGTAATGCTTCCTTACATAATGCTTTGGAGAACAACAAATTGTTATCATTCATCACGAATGCGTCAAAACTGGGAGCACTTCTTTAAAATCTCCCCTAATTAATTCTCCATCACGCTGCAAAAACGGAGCATCCACTCTGCTTTCCAACCACTACCCAGCATTTCCTACAGACTGAGCAAGCGTGCCTTGCCACGACTCCTTTCATCTCCCTACCACGTGTTAAATACCAAGCCTTCATCCCCATTCCTGCTTGCTCAGTGGTTTTACAGCCACTGTGCTCTCCCTCAGAGCAGCCCCTGCCCCAGCCCCTCTCACCTGTGCAGCAGGAGGCGTTGACTCGGGTCTCTCAGCAGCCGGGGCAGCAGCAGGAGCTCCAGCCCCGGGGAGGCTTTCGGCTGGTGCCTGCTCAGAGCCACGGCTCCCACCGGCTGCAGGACACGGGCTGGGCTCCGAGGGCACCGACCCAGCAGTGGCAGAGCTGGGGCCACATCTGCCGGCCACGCTCGGGGGGAGGACGAGTGCCGAAGGAGAGAAAACATCTGGTGGTGGTTCTTCAGAGGAAGCTTGGCAGAAAACCTCAGCGCTTTGCATCTTCCTGCTCCCGTTGGGGTTGGAAGGAGGCCACTTGGGAAGCGAGGGCCTCTTCTGCAGGGGTGGTTTATGCAGCGGGACGTGCTGTGTGCCTCCTGGTCTTTGGCTAATCTTTCGTTCCATGTATTCAACCAGCGCGGTGTGCTGGATTTGTTTCAGCTCTGTCCGGGAGATGCTGGAGCTGGACAGTGCCCTCCCTCTGTTTTCCAGGGTCTTTCTCCTGGCTGCCTCTGTGCCCGGCTCAGTCCTTTCACCCCTGGCCTGGTTCCACGGGGCTTCCTTGTCTGCGAGCTGATCGAGTTTCTCGGGCTCAGAATAACAGAGTTTCTTTTCCTCTTTTGTTTCCCTTTTCCTTCCCCCTGTTTGACCCCTTTGTGGCCTCTCTATTTCTCTATCTCTGTTGAACCTTTCTAAGGGTTCCAGAGGAGGAGGGGAACAAGGAGCGAGTTTGGCTTCCTCATTTGCCCCGGATAATGAGAAAGATCTCAGGTGTTCGATTGAAGGCCTCTTGGAGGGCTTCTGTCTCAGCCTAACAGGCAAACTCATCTGCAAGTCTTTTCTTTTAAAGGAGGTTTCTCTCAGAACCTTTTTCTGGGCCACTTTAAGTTTCTCTCTGTAGTCATTCTTGAAACTCTCATCCATGGATGAAGCAGGACTCCCGAGAACGAGATCTTCAGCCTCATTCAGACCGTCATCAGCACACCGGTGGTGCAGGCTGGCTGGCTGGAGCTGGCTGCTTTCCCTCTGTATCTCTCCGCTCCTCACCGAGGCAGCCTGGCTGCTTGTTGGAAATTCCTCTGGCGAGCTCCTTGAGCCCTCTTGACATTGGGCGAGCTTGTGGTGGTGCAGGATGTTGGTGGCTTTTCCCCCAGCAAGGTAGTAAAGCATGGGAGTCGTCTGCCTGCTTATTTGTTCACCAGCAAGATCGTCCCGCAGCTCTCTCGAGAGCTGTTTTTGAAGTCCAGGTTGGTATTTCTGATAGGGAGCAGGAGCCTCCTCTTGCTCCAGATGCATGCTAAGCTCAGGATCACTGTTACTGGCTTGTTTTTCTTTCCTGACTTCATTTAAAAGTTGTGATGCGGAATCCTCCTTTGGTCTGAGCAAAGCTGTGTGGTCGGCATCATCTGTGTGGTCAGCACGGGAGCTGCAGGACACCGACGCTTTCTGTGTTTTGGCTTGGGGACTCAGCAGCGGTTCCCCAGCACCACTCCCGAGCTCTCCTTTGGAGTTATAGCACTGCTTTCCATCTCTACAACTGCCCAGCTTCCCGGATGCATTTTTAGTTAGAGGAGCATGCTCCATATATTCTAAGTCACAAATGTCCTCAAACACATCCCAGTCCAGCTCGGCACGGAGCGGGCACTGGGCGCAGAGCAAGGACCCTTTCCACCGGCTGGGCTCTGGCACCACGCCTCGCGGATCTGTTTCTCTGAAAGCTGGCCTGCGCACGCTGCAGGGATGCTGTTTGTCTTCCTGTGTATCATTAACAGTGCGAGGGTTGGCATGCCCCGGAGGATAGGGCTTGGAGCTCGTCTCGTCAGGAATTTTATGAGCATGAGCTGAATTGTAAGCAGAAAACATTTTCGAGACGTTAGCCACAGAGTCAGTCCTTAAATATTCCTGAAAAATGAACGAAGATGGCCTGCTGAAAACATGGGCATTACTCCTCTTCACAGGTTTTTGGGCTGGGCTCCTCTCTGCATTTTCTGCTGTCCTTAGCCCCAGACCTTTTGATTCAGACCCCCCCTCTGCAGAACCAGCAGACCACCAACCTTTGTGTTGCACAGGCTTTCTCCCGGCTGCCTCAGGCTCAGGGATTTCAGCCCTGTTCTGGCTCCACGACACGTCCACGTGAGCTGGCTGCGCACTGCCCTCGCTGGGGCTTCCAGAGCTACGCCTCCTTCTCGTGTTTTCAAGGTGCCTGGCGACCCTGAAGCTGTCGAGTCGCACGGGAGGAGAGGGTGGCGGTCCCTGGCTGGGAGCCCCGGGGGAAGGAGTGCTTCCACAGCCCCCCGCGAGCCCAGCGCTGGGAGAGATGCCCCGGGTGCCCGGGTCTGGTGCCTTGTGCGGAGGCAGCCACCTGAGATCAGCGTTTGCTGCACTGAGGTTATAAATCCCCCTCACGTACTCTGAGTCCATGTACGGTACCTGCTCGGGAGGCAAAGAGCAGTGCTCGCCGTAGCACGATGGGGTGGGATACTCCGGGACGTTTGATCCCCCTGAGAAAGAGCTGTAAGCAGAGTCTGCCCTGCCAGGGAGGTGCAGGAGCTGCTCCGTGCTGCCAAGGGACGTCACTGGAGACACACGGCTGCTGTCAGGGGAGGCCGCGGGCTCCACCAGCTCTCCAATTCGGCCGCCTTGCCCATGAGCCCATCTTTCTATCTCGTTCCCAGACAGAGCCATGTCGAAGCCTTTCCAGGAAATGTTCTGATTAGATGTCTGCAACTGAGCTGTTGAAAAAGTACATTTTGCACCGCTGTCACATTCCGGTAATATTCAGAGGATCCTAAAATAAAACAAACAAAAAAAAACAGAGATGTGAAAAAGACTCAGCTGGAGGATCCCAACTGCACTTTGGGAGACCAGGCAGAGCATCACACAAATGGTGGTGGTGAGAACCTGAAAGCAGTGTTCAGAGTAGCTGGATGGCTTCAGCAATTATCAGGATATTGGAATGATCAATTCCTCTGCCACAAATGGAGGGACTCGGTCTTTAATAACAAGAGCTTTTGAGATCTTCATTAAATCTAAGAGACGTACACAATTAGGGGATGTCCTCTCACTGCAGTTACAAAGCATCAAGGGCCAGCTTCAAAGCTGGTTTCTGAGTCTGTCCAGAAATAAGTCTGAGAGGTTGAAAGCCCCAGCTCAGTGCTGCCTAATCCTGGAGGTACCTGAATACAGCACACACCTGGTGGGATGAAGCTTCAAAGTGACTTTTGGTTGTGCTTCCAGAAATGCTCACAGCCCTGGGTCAGCGCCTGGCTCTCCTTCGGATGGACGCAGCCCTCACCTGAGCATCAGGAGGCTTTGCAGCTACATGGCTGCACTCACCTTATGCAGCCACGCTCTTTCTGAAGAAACACAAACTGTCTCCAAATCCTACCAGCTAAATATCGTACGCCTGTTTTCCTGAAAAAGGTGGAACTCCCCCCAGGTTCGCCTGCCGCTCCCAACAACTCGCATCCGCAGCGGGGCCTCGTAAAGCTGCCGGGGAGATTCCAGCGGTGATGCTGCCGTTTAATCAAAAACCTTCACATTCCTGCCTCGTTTCAAAGACAGTGCTGGTATCATTCATTTGGAGCCAAGGGAAGAGGTGGATGGAAGCCAAAATACACAAGTTAATCTCTGAAGGGAACTTGGACTTGTGGGGCACAGTAAATAAATTAACTAGTTTCTGAGAAATGAAAGGAGCGTACCACCACCAAGTGGGAACTTCTGCTGGGGTCCTTCAGAAATTTCAGCAAGAAATCAACTCCCGGACACTTGGAGAAGATTTCTCTCTCCCTAGGGATGATCTAAACGCAGCCGTGAAATTTGTCTCACAGGAAACACACAGCGTGAGTGGCTGATGACGAAATTTCCCATGCTTTTCATCAGCGTACTGAAGAATTTAAGGAAATAAAAACCTTAGAAATCTGGTGTAAAGAAAACCTTGAATTTTCTGAACCTATCAAGAAGGAAAAGCAGATGAGAGAGCGAATGCTCGGTGAGCTCTGCGAGCCTGGGTGTACCTGGAGGTGCTGGGAGCCGCACAGGATGAAACCCCGTGGGAGCCACATTCCACGAGAGAACCAGAAGGCAGATTCCTCTGACATTTTTATCTCCGTTTTTTAATCAAAATTTTATTCCAGTGGACCTTCTCCAAGCAGCTCGATTCCCCCACGGCTGCTATTAATAGGCCGGGCCAAGGCTTTGTCTGGGACGTGCTGGCACCGTTCCACCGAAGTTAGTGGAGCTGCCCGGATTTACAGCCAGAAGCTGGCTCTGACTTCCCGCAGCTATGTGCAGAATTTATATAACACTCGTGCTGCGGCTCTGCGTGCATCAGCGACAGAGCTCTCCTGGTTTGCTACAGCAGTTTTTCCTAAGAACCTTTCCCCCTCGTTCTTTCCAGCTACCTCTGCTTGCAATTTACAGCGAGCGCAGCAACAAAGAGAAGAATTCGTGTCTCAGGTTTTCATGGCAATACCAGAAAGAGCAGGGAACTATTTCTGTGCTTTAGATGCTCAAGGTGTGAGCACCTGGCTTGGAAAAGGCAGCAGCAAGTACCGAGTCGTGCTTGCAGCAGGACGCAGGAGGAGGTGGCAGCTCACAGGGCATTCCCTCCTCCATGGCAGCCTCTCACCTGAGCCACCTGCAGCCTTTCCTGGGCAGCAGGGAGGTGCCAGATAAGCCTGAGAACTTTTTTCTCCGCTCTGGTGCCCTCTGCTCCCGTTCTTGCCACGGCCCTGATCTTGAGTGTCTGCTCAGTCTGAGTGAAGCCTGCAATGTCACGTCCTTGAAGCGATAGAAATAATAGGGACTGACGTGATGTACTGAGCTCCACAAATCTCCACTAAAACTTAAACAACACGATAATGAAACACAACTTAGGGAAAACCCACCATCCTATTTGTCATCCCTATTTGGGAAGATGCTTCCTGAGCTCAGGTAGCAAAAATCACAGACCTTGATGTGTTCAAAGAACTATGTGGAATCTGCCTCCTTTTCACATGCGAAAGGGAAAGACGAATTTAGTTAAATCTCAACTGCCAAACAACGGAGTCATTGTTCTCCTCAGCTGGTCGGTGGTGGAGCACCCTCATGGACCACGCTGGTTTGGGTCTTAGAAGTGCCCTGGCAAGCCCGTGACACAGAGCGAATGTTCCAGGCAAGCTCTCAGTATTTTCATTGTAACCCTTCAAAAGCAAAAAGAAAAAAGTTGAATTAAAGGTGTTTTGGAACAAAAGACACTGGAAGATGAAGGAAGTGTGCTCGCTGTGTCATTCCAGATGCCCAAGGAGGTAATAAAGCCCCTAACAGCTATTAAGATCCAAACAAAGGTGCTTTTTTGTTTTGCTTTGGTTTTTGTTTTGTTTTTTAAAGACTTGACATCCATCCCCTCATTTATTGTACTTACTCCAGTTCTGCCCAGGAACCTGTGCGCGGAGCACAGCCCTCCATGCAAAGCAGCCTGCAAATACAGAGCACGAAGTCGCTGCTCTGTAGATTTGCCAAGGAGATGAGGCGAACACAAGCACGGAAGAGAATCGGGACCTCAACAGGGAACGTGATCAGCTATGGCTGCACAGCAGGCCGAGGCCGAACAAAACCCGGAGGATGCTGTGGGCACTAGGCTGGCACACTCTGGGCCCAGGTAATGATGTCTGATGTATCAAAACAAGATTTGCTCCAAGTTTCTACCGTGATAATAGTAGGGAAAAAATAGTATTGTCGCAGCCGTGCTCATTTGTCCACTTCCAATAAAGTTTACTGAGGCGATTTCTGTAAGACTGCCTTTTTTAGACAAATAGTTCCGTGGAAATAAAGGCAAGAGCCCCACAGCGATTAACCTGTACCAGACCACAGCACGCAGCTGCTCTCTGAAGAACAGGAGAGATAAGTGTGAAAGGCAGGGCGAGCTCTGGGACCAACCTACCGACATTATGTCATGTTCGTGTTTGTGACTGACCCGCTCCTTATCAGAGGGCAAACACTCTGTAAATATTAGCCCAAATTCTTCAGATTCCAATCACTTGCACAGATCACAGCACCTGACCCATCCGTTTCACAGGCCACCCAAAACACATCCGTGGTACCTCGCTTCGGCAGGCAGCTCCCGGCCAGCCCACGGCTCCCACATCGCCCCCCGGGCAGAAACCCACGCACACGCAGGACACGGTGACCCACGCAGCCCCAGTGCCCATCTCTTTTCTCTCCAGACACGCCACGTCTTAGCAAGATTCGTTCCTTTGACCGCGCTGTGAAACTTGCGGAAATTCCAGACAGAAGTCTGAAGTCTTCAAATTCCACCACTTTCACATGATAAAGGGCGAGGGAAGGAGAAGGACACCACATCCAGGGAAGCGTGTCTGGACGACTGTCCCTGTGCCAGCGTCTCGGAAAGTCTCTCTCCCAGCTTTATTGCCTTTCTAGTTTATAAATTAGAAGAACTTTCAACTTCAGGTTTCAGACTTGTCTTACAGGAGAGCAGCATAGGAGAAAAGAGCAGGTGGCACCCCCTTTGGATGCCTGGAAATGCACCTTTGATAACCTGTATTTTTCTTCCAAGATGTCTGAAGTCTCTACAAAACAGACACCCAATTTAGTGCAGTTTCCACCACCGTGCAGGTCGCTGTCTGGCGGCTGCCAGGGATGTTGTGTGTCAGAGCCCACGGACAAACTCGCAGGGTTGGCTTACACGGGCCCAGTGGGAAACTTTCCCTGCTACTGGGAGCCAAAGAAAGTCAAAGTGTCAGACATTATTGAGACAGAGCCTAAGTGGGATTTAGAGGCGGTTTATGACTCATGTGCACATTAATAAATTTCACCACAGTTTGAGGAATGTAAACATTCCCAGAGAAATCACACACACAGACCTCTGGCTGTCTGGAGCAATGCGAACGTCCCGAGCAATTTCAAGGAAGATGAAAATAAGAATGTGTTTCAATATCCCCTCATTTTGTGTGAATAAATCTTCCTAAATGCCCTCACCCAGCTCTCCACGGAAGGACGGGGCTCCTATTGATGGGCACAGGAGCTCTGCCCGGCCAGGAGCTGGTCCATCACTCGCCTTCCCTGCAGGGATCTGCAGGGTGAGGGCACCTCGCCGCCGACACAGCTGCCATCTCAGTAACACGACTGCTCGGCTGAAAAAGACTGCAGCCCAAATAAAATTATCTTGGGCCTGGGAGCCACGGCCCGATGTCTGACCAAGGATTTAATGAGGAAGGTCAGGTTTAGCAATCCCTCACAGCCCAGAGAGAGAGACCTTGTCTGGGCGCCCAGCGGAGCCTGACCCTCTCGTTACAGCAGTCACCCCTCGCACACTTCCCCACTGTCCTCAAATTCACTGTCTTTCATTACTCAGCCTGAAAAACTTCTCCTGGCTTCCACCGTCATCATTCCCTAATCTACTAAACACCAAACACTTTCTTTGTTTCTACCTCGGAAAACACGTCACAAAAAAGGTTTTTGTCGGAAATCGCTGCTTCAGCCCAAACACGTGAGCGTCCTTCCAGCCTTTCCCATTCCGTCCTTTCTTACTTCACCACAATCTTCTTTTTTTTTTTTTTGTTGCTTGATTGAGCTCATTTAATCCCACAAATTTATCATCCTAGAACAGACTCAAAGAGATTCAAGAGCACCAAAGAACTAGAAACTCTAATGACTAGAGACTCTAATGAGCTCAAAGTTTAAGAGAAAAAACTCTAACGATTCTGGTGATTTTTATACACGTGCAAGTTCGTTATGGATTAGGTTATTAACATCCTAGGAAACACAAAAGAGAATTCAAACTGAACA